CCCCCCACCACCACCACTTCTAAATATTTTGTTGCTGTTGCAAAATTTTTTTTCAAAAATTCAATTTATCTCGTCTTGAAAGAGATCTTCAAAAGATAAAAAAGGAGCAATTGTAAGGTTTTTGATTTGTGGTATAGTGACGAGAGCAAAATTATATTTTTTCAGATATAACATTTTCACGACAAATCAAACAAGTTGTTTTTCTGTACGAAATAGTGACGATCCCAACCGTTTTGAAACAACATATATTTTTTAGATTTTTTCGCTTGGAAGACATTAGGGTTAGTTAAAAATTAGTTTCCTCCATAAAATTACCACTTTTATTTGTTAACACTAACCGTTACAAATAAAAAAACAACAACAAAGTTTTCCCGCAATTCATACCAGCACGACATGGATATCAAAATTAATATGTTTGATTTCTTGATTTTCTCGTTAAATTTTTAATACAATGTTCTTAAATAATTGAATTTGTTAGTGCAGCGGGCCATTCAGAAAGGTCCATCAGGCAACATGCGGCCCGCGGGCCACAGGTTGAGTATCGCTGCTCTAGACAGTTTAAAACGTAGATGTTCTTTATTTAGACCAAAGATTTCTCAGTGATAGCCTCGAACTCGGATGGAGATAGAGGGTGCGCGAGATGGAGAAGCCAAGTAATTTTCTATTACATTCCATGTTTAATTCGATATATTTTGCTTTTAGAATATTTTATTGGCCACAGCTGTGGCCATGGATCGAGTTTGAGACTAGTGCCACTGAACACCCAACGTGTAGAGAAGCTGATGCATGCTAAAAGAAATTGGAAAGCTAAAATCATATTTTTTTGACAATTTGAAATTTTTACATTTTCAAATTGTATAAATTTTAACCTATCTAAAAATACCTTACTTTAACCTCTAGGGTAATTAGAAGCCCTTAAAACCTATTTTAGAATAATCGTTGAAACTGGGCCTCGCCCATTTGAATGGCGCGAAAAGTGTAAGCAAAATACTTCGTTTTTGCTTAAAAGATGTGAATATCTGATATAAACTAAAACATGCATCTTTTATTGTAAATTGAGCCTTTTATTTTTTTGTTTCCTAGCCGATTAGAAGTCTCCCTGTATACATTAAAATCAATTTATCTCAAAGTGTAAATTTTAATGTTCGAGAGATGTACCTTTTCTGAGAAACTATTGTTCACAGGTATCATTATGATATACTTAAAATGATGGCTAATATATATTGAAATGAGTGTTTTTAGTAAAAAAACTCAAATTTATTTTTTACAAATTTTTTATGTGAAAAATGGGTCAAATTTTGCAATGTTTGATAAAATGTTTCATAAGTTATGAAAAAATTCAAAATTAGCTAAAAGCTTATTTCAGTGTAATGAGAAAGGTATACTTTAATTGTATGAAAAATTTCAAACATGTACATATAACAGATTTTGAGAAAAGGTACATCGAAAACAGCCAATTTAACATTGTTGGTATATATATAGAGAGAGGTTTCCAACTCTCCTCTTAATTCAAGAGAGGCTCAAAGTCCTGGTTTCGTGGAGTAGAGATTTAGAGAGATGTACCAGCTCAGGTGTTCTCATCACTTGACGATGGTTCAACTTTACGAGGTATGTGTCTAATATCCCTCGTATTGCTTCTTAGTGAGACTAATATTGAAATCAAATTAAAGTTTTGTTTTAAAGAAACAAAAGTCATGCAAAAATAAAATACAGATTGAAATTTAAGATACCTGAATAAATAAAGAGTGATAAATCGGTATTTACCACATATATTCAAGATGCCTGATTTCTTTCAGCTGTACTTTTTTCCTATTTGTATCTACAGTAGAACGTCGTTTATCCAAATCAATTTGGACCAGACACTGTTCGGATACATGATTGTTCAAATTACCGAAAACCGAATGCGATCCATGCAGTATATGAAACCGGACATTATACGAATATTGAAAATCATCACATGTGGGGAACGTGCTTGAATAAAAAGCAAAATAGGTACAAAATGTCGCAATTTTACTTTTATTGAGGACAATAATCACTTATTATCACTTAATTATCACTTATGTCACACTTTT